CCTAATTAATAGATAATTAATTTTTAAATGTAGTTATTATGAATACAAATATGAATTGATCAAATTTGCAATTTTGATTTTCAATGCTTTATTGACTTGATCCCCTTCATAGGGATTTGGTCGAGCTTGGCTTGATAAGTTTTAGTCGAATGTTGCTCGAGAGATCTAGATAGAGATCGATGCTAAGAAGTTTGAGTGTATGACTAGGGCCATGCAAATGGAGACTAGCTGTTTTTGAGCTTCCATCATTGATTGACATGTGTACCAAAATATTAGAATGTTGATTAATTTCATCCCTTGGTGATAGATTTTTTGATGTAGTCGCAATTTCAACTTGTAAAATACTTTACCAATTAAGCTAGCAAGCTTAAAATGAATGATTGCTTGCCAAACAATTTCTCTTCGAGCTTTAATTCATTTGAACAAATATTGGTGTACAATAATAATCAGAAGATATAGAAATCCTCACCTCTGAAGAACCAAAATCTTAACATGCAATATCTGATGGGATTAGGCCCCAAACCATTGAATTAAATACAATTTTAATGTCTGGCGAATTTACAAACATTAGCACCCAATTTCTATGTACTTACATATCTACAATCTAAACTTTGCTTTTTTTTTGCATTTCTACCACTCAAATCGTTCATATCTCATGTGAATACCACTATTTAAACTCTTAAAATATAAACTCTAATCAAATATCTAAAAAATTGAAGTGTTGGTTATGTGAATGCATAGGAATTTGGTGGCATGAATGCAAACCTTCCTTAAAATTTTCAATCCAGACGCAATCACATACACATTCCTATTGTTATTCTCCAAAATTATAATCACGACTACATCGCATGATCAGATCCAAAATTACTTCTATTTCAACAAATACATAGAAAGTTTCCAGCTAACTAACCAGAAACAAATTGGCTTAGAATATTCTGACAAATCAAATGAAAAATCTCATAAAAATTTAAATCAATTTCTCATATATTACACTCATCTCAAAACAATTCCTTTCCCAAAAAAAAATTAGTACATTTCATGACCAACCTCTACTTATATAAACAGTATAAAATTTCACCACAACCCTTTACTTTTACAACCTTTCACCCAAAATCTGATGCCCACTAAACTAAAGACAGAAATGCAGAATCTTTTTATTCCCCATAAGGAGGAGATTGTGCAGAAGAAACAATATTAAGGGGTGTAAAAGAAATGGACCTTCTTTCCTCAACACCATGGAGGAAGTGAGGAGAATCATCCTTGATAATGGCGCAAAATGATATTGAACCTCGCTTTGTCGAATCCTGATGGTTTTCGTTCTGGATCAGCGAGGCTCCTTCGCAGTAATAATCATTACAAGGAATCTCCTCAATCTCGGTGTCATGTTCGTTGATTTTTCGCAGCGCTAACGAATCAGCAACGGGGAGATACACGAGCATGCAGATGCCCGTCATGTTGCATGATAAGAGCATGAGAAAGGCGGCGAATACGAGCACCTCATAACAAATATTTCCAGCATGAGGCAGAGCCGAGAGTCCGAGTAACAGAACTCGGAGTGGGAGGAAGAAGATGACCGACAGAGCGAGAAAATAGACTCTGAGTCGCAGCCCTTTGTTGATCACTAAACATAGCATTCGAGCTCCGATGTAAACAACATAAGCAATCACGAAAATATCGAATAATCCCAAAATTACAGTGCTAAGTAAGGGGTAAGTGCAAATGGTTGTATCAGTCAATGGAGGGAATGATGAAGTCATGAAGAACTTCACCTTCTTCTTCCTCATCCTATGAGGTCCTATTAAAACGAGGAGTTGAAACAATAATAGGGGAAGGGAAAGGAGGAGGACGGAGACGAATGTCTTCCAATTCCATGTCTGAGTAAGTGAGTCAGAGTCTCGTTTTCGTAGCGCAGCATGGAGTAAGAAACCGAGCATGAGGAAGATGACGGGTTCAGCGAATCCGAGGTTTGATAGAACATAGAACTTGCACCATGCCGTGGTGGAGAGAGGCCTTCCAGTATCTCTGAGGAGGCTCAATCGAACGATCTCGCCGAAGCCCCACCAGATTGAAATAATGATGAGGACGACACGGATGATCCAGGGACCGTTAAAGTATCCGAGATGGGAGAATCCTCGTCTTTGAATCTGAAGTTGGAAGTAGATGCAGCGATAGATGCATAGCAGTCCGAGAATGGAAGCTAGTGCGACGAGAGCAATGGTTGCCACGCCGAAAGCATCGGCGGCAACTCTTGTCATGGGAATCAGCCGGAGCACGGATTCCACGCATGCTCGCCGCCGTAAGCCAGACCAAGAGAGCACTCTTGCAATGAGGAGAAAACTTATTAAAGTTCTATCTGCTAAAACAACATTATGTCTTCAAGAACTACTAGGGTTCTGGTTCTAGGATTCCTTGCTTGATAGAAAGCCTGAAAAATGAAAAATGAAATTTTGTTAAAAAAATAATAACCTTTAATAAGACTTGGATTATCATAGAACAAGAACAGCATGAATAGAAAAGGTAAAAGTAGTAAAATTGTCCTCCGACTCTTTTCCGTAGTCATTTCAGTCTTAAAATGTATCAATTTAGTCCCCCCACACTCTTTTAATATAGGTTAAAATAATCCTTAAGGAAGATTATTTTAGCCTTCATTAAAATAATCTAGGAACTAATTCAACATAGAAAGGATAATTGGGTACAAAAAGAAAACATTATAGTATATACTAAAAGGAAAATTTACCTACACACCACCCAATTCCTATTTACACATCTAACACCTAAACTTAAATTTTACAATATATGTCACCTTAAGTATGTATTTCACTAGTTAAAAGTCAAAATAGTGATATTTTTTATGTGATATAAAAGATTTGGGTGGTTTTAAATGTAAAAAAATAAATTTTTGGAGTTACATAAGCAAGTACAAAGGAATTGGTTGGTATTACGTAAATGCACCTACTTTAAAATATAAGGAGCACTGGCACACGCATGCTCTAAAATGTCTTTTTTTTTCCCCCCAAAGATTGCACCTCATTATGACATAAAATCCAAAATTTTTCCCCAAAAGTTGCTCCTTTACTTCTGATTTGCATCTTATGAAAGCATAGTGTGCTATATTTTGTATGGATTGCACCTCATTATGACATAAAATCCAAAATTTTAAGTTACAAGCTGACACAAGTAAATTAAATGTCGCATACAAAAATATTCCAAAGCCTAAACAACTTCAAAACTCCAAAAGATTTTGATTCAACAAATAAAGTAAAGGGAAAGTTAGATACACCCCACACAATTGTTAGTATTTACATTCTAATAACTAAGGTTTGGTATTTACATTTATATCACTTTGATGTCATAATCTTATGATGCATGAAAAGGTGTGTTTTTGATGTGATATTAAATATTTGAGTGTTGTTTTATGTAAATATGAAAGTTTAGATATTAGAAATGTAAATATATAAGAATTGTGTGATAGGAATACCAAGAACAATTCCCAAATTTACCAAGGCTTATGATCAATTAAACCTAAACAACAACACAGGATAATAGGATCGCACACGATTCAAGAAAACTGGAACAAAAATTTGAATAGAAGCACAGACAAAGTAATCAGAAAAGCATATGAAAATTTTAAGTGGAAAAACCATAGAATGGGAAAAAACACGGAGCCATGCCACCACATAATTCTACTATAAAATTCAAAAAGTTTTACATAGAACTTACACAAGTTTACTCTCTACACACAAGGAAATTTAACACGCTCCACACTCTTCCTTTCGATCCGATGCGAGACATGCCCGTCAAAATTACTGAAGTCCTCTCCGACACTCCTCACATTCATCTGGATTTTTGTCAAGGAACACTCAACTTACAGGAACTTCACGAACTAAAGAGATAACCATTGCCGCTTCAATTTGAACTTTAAACCCAAAAAACCATGGTAATCAACGGACTTGGCGCAAACCTGCCGGTATCCCGGGAAACAA